CATGGGACGAGCTGGAGAGAGAAGCTACTAATGCAGATAGAGAGCATGGAGTTGAGTCGGATAGCGAGGAAGACAGGAAGAGGAGGAAGATGAAAGCGTTTGGGAAATCGCGACCTGGAACCAGCGGTGGAGGCGGCCGAAGCAGCGGTGGAGGCGGCCGAAGCAGCATGAAGAACATGCCACCATCTAAACGCAACAAGCACAGGTGAAAAAAAGTTGGGATTCTACATATCTAAATGCTCTTATTAGGTGAAACGAAATCAGACATTTTCCAGGGTTAAATTTAGTGTTCTTTTTTTGTTTTTTTGGGTGTTGGCAAGCGAAGACTAGTGTTTTGTTTTGTTATGGTTTTGAATCAGTCTTTGTATCATAAAGCACTGCTTTAGTTTTCTCTCAGTTCGATTTCTGGAAAAATTATTAGGCTGCTTGAATGATGTGAATATGGTAAATTATATCCAATTATTAAATAGCATTATATAAGTTATAACAATAAAAAGTGGAAAAAGCCTGACTTTAATAGAATAAACAATAGCTAGGTAGCATAAAAGCTTTAACACCTAAACTCACTCAAAAGCGTTTTGCTTAATTTTTGTTGTAACAATCCCTCTTTAATATTAATTGATAGTAAAATCATAGAAACTTTGAGCTAACAAGAAGTCTTCCAAATCTCCTGGAGCTCTCTAGCAAACTCGTCTTGTCTTCCGACAACTAAAGTAATGTGATCTTTGTTCTCAACAACCTTAACTCGTGCTCGAGGAATCCGACTTTGAACATTGTAGCTACACTCAACAGGAACAACCTCATCGTCTCTCCCATGGAAGATTACGACATTGCACTTGAGTTTATCTTGTACCATGTCCAAATACGAATCCAGTTTGCTACCTATTCCACATATTATGTTGTGTAGAGTGTGCCACGCTGCGTTATGTGTGTGACACATAAATCCTTCTATTAGAAAGTTTATTGTCCTGCAGTGACAGAAATAGCTCATTAATTTAGTTGAAGAAATGACTCACAAAATCTTTAATTAAAAATCATGTTTTAATTAGATTAACCAATAGATTCATTATAGTTTGCGAGTTTCACATGCATGCAAAAAAAAGAAGATATATATATATACCTATCAATGATTCTCAATAGTTTAGTTCCCAATACAATTATCTCGAACCATAGATAGATTGGACGTAATTATATACCATAGATAAAATCATATGATTTATAACATTAGAAGCATGACCCATTACAAAGTAACATCCCCTCATGCTTCAAACACTAAATAGGTTTGGTAGGTTAGAACTTAATATTAGCTAGTAGCTTTACCTCTCCATCATGAATCGGTAGGTTGCCTAAGTCTTTTTTTATTTTCCTATTGTGTCTCTATACATTTAGAAATGTGATGTAATTTGTAGATCGAAGCTTACGCCATTTATGACCAATATCTTTATACATATCAAGTCTACTAAATCTATGCATAAGCTAATTAAATTCGTAATAAAAGAATAGATACCTATTATTTCGGGTGATGAGTTTGGCAAGAAATTGCCAAAGACGATGGTTTTTGCAGATGAGGAGACAAATGGTTCGGCTTATGTGTTCATACCAACAAGCCATCGATGCTCCAAACGCTATCGGTGGCCAAATCCTCCGCGGCGCCACCTTCTTCATCACATACTGCCTTGGCTCCACCTCCGTCGCGGGCACGGGATGGTACGGCTTCGCCATATATACATGCACAAGTGTCAAACTTCAGAAAATATATTTTACATATAAATGTTACTTACGCATGTGTAAAATTCAATTGCGCATTATTCATGAATCCATATTTGCACCAAACACATCTTTTTTTTTTGTGTATGGCGCATCAGAATTGTGTATATTGATTATTAACGTATATAAAATTTAATATATACTCAAACAAATAATGATAAGAATATAGATTAATTAATCAACTAATTACCGGAGCAAGGAGGGTTAGTGACTTGATGGAACCACCGTGCTTAGCGACTAAGCCAAGAGCCAAGATGCAACCCAAAGAGTGAGCCACAATGTGGAACGACTTCACATTGTGTTTAAGCAATACCGATTTCTCTATCATCTCCACATGCTCTCTCATCGTGTAGAGTGAATCCGCAGGCTTAGGGCTTTTCCCAAACCCTAAAAGATCTACGGCGAAGAGTCTATAATTGGACTTCGAGAAACTTGGAAACACAGTCTCTGTCCAAAACGCTGATGAAGATATGAATCCGTGTATGAACAACACATCCTCTTTCCCGGTATTGCCTGTGAAAATGTTCAATTATTAAAAAAATATCAACATTACTAAATTCAAACACCCAAAGATAACATTTGTTGTTATTTATATACACACAAAAAAAAACTTTAAAATGTTTGGGGCTTGTAACAAAGTGGTTTATAATAGTGTCGTTTTCTAGTTTGAGCTCAAATTCAAATCTAGTAGTATATGCAAGTGAGAGTTATATATAGGTGGAAAAAAACATCACTTGAAATTACTTATCAAGATTATACTTGTTTACACACATATTTATCTAACTATTATATATAGAATTCATCCATCTAAATGGATTCTAAGTTTGAACATTTTTAAATATATACCTTTTAATCATATTTGTATTTTGTTGTGGTATGTTACTTGCGAGGATGTTTATAGAAAATGTGAATACCTTTTGGGAATTGAGTTTGGACAAAGAGGGACTGATCTTTGACACAAGTGGAGGTCCAACAAGTGCAAAATCCGCAATCACAATCCGACCATCTCGAGACTTGTCGGCTCAACTTCTTCGGCTTAATCTTTCCTTGAAGCATCTCAACGAAAGTGAAGCTCACGGTCAATCTTGACTTCATCATCGCTCTACCTTGGCTCTTACTCATCTTTTTCTCGTCACACTCGGAATGTGACCTAGTCCCATTCACTAACCATTTGGTGAGATTGTTAATGGAGAGGTTAGAGAAGTCAGAGAGAAGAGAAGGACGAGAGTAAAGAGTCTCTGAGATCTCCTCAAGCTCAATCTTGGAACGTCCGCTACAAGCACAACCGGAAGGAGGGTAAATACCGGCCCGGTTAAGTTAATAAACCGAATAATAATTGATTTATTTATCTTTCAAGTTAAACTACTCTTAAGTCTAGTATAAATTTCATCACTTAGAAGTTAGAACAATTGACGTTTAGTATACTACTCTTAAGTCTCTAACCATTTAGTATAAATTTCTTGTAAAGGCAAAGGAGACAATACGTGTGAGAGAAATTAAAGTATTGACGTTTTTCTCAATAAAAACTGACGTTTGTTTTATATAGTAGTAATAAAAAAAGACAAAACCTAATGAGAATCTTGGACTCTTACGTTGTTGTTGGACAAACAAGCCACGTTTGTTCTAACTTCTAAGTGATGAAATGACATGTTTTTTTCTTTTTCTTTTGCAAATAATTTAATGCCAAGAAAACAAAAGAAAAAAAATGATATACCTAAGTTGTTGTTGAAGGGGAGAAACAGTGAGAATCTTGGATTCACCATTGGTATGAGATACGAGGATGTTCCCTTTGGTGGTGGTGGTGATGAGTTCCTTGGGAGACAAGCAATAGCAAGGTTTCCACTCTGCTTCGAGGAGATAATCAGCAGTTTTGTAGAGAACACAGAGCAAAGAATCTACGATGTCTAAGAAACAAAACACAACGAAGCTCACGACTTCGTTTACCCATCTCCCTACTGATGATAACGATCTTGTCTTCATCGCTTCCATGCATGAACCACACTTACTTAAGATTATGTTCACAAGTCTCTCTCTTTATTCCACTCGATCTCCTGTTTATATAAGAAGAAAGATCTATGTGTAAAGTTGTTTGTCTTCTTGTCTTATTTCCTAAGCTTTCTCTCTCTCTCTCCTATGTTTGAGAGTTGAGAAGAGGGATCTATATGGAGGGGTATGGTAAATTGTAATAAGAGGGGTTACTTGATATGCACCATAGTCTATATTATAGTGTGGAAATTTGGTAAAGAAATGGAGACGTCAAAAAACAAAAAAAAATTGGTAAAGAAATGGAAAAACAACAGCTTGTGGTTGTGGATATTTTTGAACATTTTGAAATGGTTTATTCGAAATTTTATGTATATTATCGGAAGATGGTGACTTTTGCAATTGATATTTAAAACAAAAATTAGAGGGAGAAAAGGAAAAAAGATCGGTGACATTTGATAGAAATTGATTCCGAAGGTGCCATAGCGAAAACGTGCAAGAGAACTAATATATATTTCGTAAAACTTACGAATGAGAGACAATTGGGAACAATTTTATTCTTTTAAAAAAGGTGTTATGCTTAATTATATATTAGTGTTTTTATAAAGTTCAAGCCAAGTCATTGTTTAAATTATTTAGATGGATCAAATGAAAATGTGGAAGTACACGTACCATGTAATTGATTTTACTTGGCACACATATTTGGTTGGTCACTCACTACCGTCTCGATTAATCTGAATTTTTTCGTTTGCTGACGTTATTATCGAAAAGTAGGATATAATTCGGCCTATAATAAAACCCCATCACCTAAACCGGAATTTTTTTTTAAACTTCAGTTACATATCTACCACAAAGATGTTTTGACGAAATTATATAAGAACAAAAGATAAATAAAGTTTTGAGTACAAAGAAAAACAAGGAGATAAATAAAGAAAAATGTTTAGTGTCATTAAAGACACAATAAGAAGGGGTAGGTGGTAGTTGAACCCATCTTGTGAATGAATCAAATCAGAAATTGCTCTCTCTCTCCATGACTTGGCTTTACCATACTCACTCGCATTCACATTTCCCATACATCTTTCTCTTCTTACGTATCCTTAATTAATATATTATTTCCCACTTGATAATAGTTTCTTGCTCCACAAATAGTACTATTAATCCAAACTTTCTTATCTAACAACTTAAACCTTTTTTGTCTTTGCTAAAGATACTAAGAAAAAAATCAATAATAAGAAGCTGCCTAATCAATTTTTAGTTTTATAAATTATAAAGATTGCAATACAATAATAAATATATTTTGGTGACTTTAGAATTTAAGCTAAACAAGATCTTACCGGATCTTTGTGAGCTAGCGCTACATGAGTCCCTATTATAAAAGTTTATTATAGAGTAAAGATTTTATAGATCTTTAAAACAAAAATATTTATAGATGTTTTTACATATAAGGCGTACAAACATATCATTATTATGATTTACTCTTTCATTGATAAAGTATGCACATTTTGGCTATGCATGGTTTGTGCATGTTCATAGGGAAGGAATCGTAGCAAAACAAAGTTTATATGCGGTTGGGAAAATAAGGAGATATATCATCTAGTGGTCACTATAACTTTTCTATAAATCTATTTAATATGTTTATAAATTCTAGAAACCAAATCCAAATTCGAACCAAACATGAAAAAAAAAAACAATCAAAAACATAAATGAGAATTTGGCATGAATAACAGAAAAAAAAATTATAATTGATAATCTAACCAAAAGTCACTATGTGGCAAAATCAAGCCACTAGATCTAGGGCTTTTGGTTAGATTGTCAATTATAATTTTATTTTTGGTTATTACACAAATTGACCCAACATAAATTTCTTTCTTAAGTTTC